CAGCTTAAACGAAATATAGTAAACACAATCCATATAGCTGATTTAATGGTAGTCTCGAAAATCTACTCACTCACGAAAAAAGTAATGTCATCGAGTGCTTCATCGGCAATACCAACACAGAATCTGATATGGAAAATGTTTGGCCTTCCTTGAAATTCACATCTGCCCTGTGACTCAAAGGCACTCGTGGCAATGTGGAGTAGTGGTGAGCGTGTCGAGCGTACACGCTGCACTTTCATGGTTCGACTCACGCCTGAGGTGTTGATAATACCTGTGCGATGTCGAAACTGCAGTCCATTCTGGATGAGAGCATCTTTTGGGAAAGCAAAGCAATGTGAAATTCAATGGAAGACATTAGCCCTACTCAAATCATTTTGAGAAAATTAAACTATCAGTCCTTCATCACCTTAAAAAAATAGAGTTAACAAAACTAATATAATAATATTGCAAGATCACCGTCGTTGCACATATCTTCACCACATCAATATTACATTTGTTTGACAATTAGAGCCATGGTTATTAATACAGGATTAGGATGAAGCATATAATGATTTATTTAAAAATATCCGAAGTTCCAGGAAAAATTAATAAAAATTCAGAAAATCCACTTAATTCAAACGTGCATGCGACAAGACTTCATCGTAGGTATCTAGGAATAGTTAAAGGATTTGAGAAATAATATAAAGGCTTACCACCCGTAGAGTTTGGTCTTTCGAGGCATTCGTGTGAGTGGAGGATCCAGACAAGCGAGATGGAAGGCGGAATTACATGTGTCACAGAGTGTTATCAAGTGCTGATCCTCCCATTTATGACAGACGATGCAGCTAAGACAATAAAAAAGTTATAAGATATTGATTGGTAATTTTATAATAATATTAGAAAAACATAGGTCGCTACATTGATAAAACGAGTCTACAATAAGTAGTGAGGAAAATATTCTGTAATAAGTAAGGTAGCAATACAATGAATAGCAAATATCAGAATAAAAATATAATTGTCATTAAATAAACTTTTTTAAAGCAGTTTATTATCACAAAGAGCCAAGATATGTAATTATAGAAACCGACAATTATTTAGAATGAAAAAAAGCAAATTAAATTATGAAAAATGAATAAAAAAATTCACTGAAATAATCATGCCAAGGCAGTTGAAAAATAATGTGATGAATGAAAAAGAAATACAAAGGGAAATGAAGTAGCAAAAGTAAAAGTATGTTTTTTTAATAAAGAGAAACAATTAAAAATTAGAAGAGTTAAACTACCTTTGGACAATGACGTCGATAGTGGCCGATTCTTTAGTTCCTGCTTTGGCCACGGGATCTGGTAACAATGAACAAGGCAATGGCTTTGGACCCAGTTGAGATTCAGTATTCGAACCCATCTTAAACCTGTCGCCTGAAAACGGACTTCTAGTAGTCAAGGAATTCGCCTCAGATGTCTTGCGCCGATAGACTGAGATAGACTGGCTGGCCGGTAAACGAGAGTAGACACGCCGAAGGGACTGGGAAGAGCGACGACTAGTAGATGTACCGATGTATTTAGTTGGTGTAGGAAAGAAGTTCGTAGAAATCAGATGATGACCTGACGGGCCAGAGGATTCATTGGTACCGTTGTTATCATGGACATGGATGGGCCCAGATACATTTTCAGGAACCGAACCAGAATGCATCATCATCTGATCAAGCTCACTGAGGTAGGTAAGACCCTAGATAAAGTAGGCGAAGTTATATTAATAATAATAATAATAATAATAATAATAATAATATACATATGTGTATAGTTTACATTTTAGTTAAACTAGCTTGGAAATATGTAACGCTAACTGTCAATAACAAATATTGTAGAATCGAAGAATCCCTTAAGAGACTGACGTTGGAGTACTTCAATTCATTTGAAGAAGCGAGTAAAGGGATTCGTAAATTGGCCTTACCGGAAGCTGTATGGGGATTGATTGGAGCTCTGACTAGATTTGCGATAATAGGTCCTCACCAAAGCGCCCTGCGACCCCAATGAATCCTTGCTCAGTTGTCGTCTGTCATGTGACAGACATCGCCAGAGCAGGATACCATGCCTAACAATAATTAAACAAAACACGACAAAAATGGTGCCCGGTTGCAAACCTACATACTTCTTATAGTCCAACCTGACCTAACTAGTGGGGCATCTTCTGATTTGATTGGATATCCTATACTTTGCCTGAGTGTTTGCTTAAAAGTTCAGTTACGTGGATGCAGATGAAGCGTGAAACGGATGCAATTGTGAACAAACAGCTGCATCCCTTAAATCGCTCATAATTTTTAACCTGCAATGTTACCACGTGATTGCATTTCATTGCATGTGTGTAGAATGAAGGCAATGCTCTTGAAATTTAGATGTGAAAGTCGAAACCAGATTAGAGCCTGTTCTTGCTCAGTGGTACTTATCTTTCCCTTCTCTCTCTAATCCTATCCAATAGGCACAATAAGTTTCCATTTAATTACTGAGATCAATAGATATGAAGACCAAGATGTCATAGCCTTTAGTATGATCGCTAACCTCGTTTTCGCAACGTAATGGTGTTGTCAGGGCGATTCAATTGGTCGTATCTTGTATCAAGTCATCTACTATAATACCTACATATTATAATTCCCTGCGTCGTCTCTTTAACGAGTTAAAGATTGGTTCTGAGAATGGCAAGGCACACTGATGATGCCTGCGAAACGTCTGGGAATGTACCAATTCAACGGATCGACGCTTGAATTTATAATACCTACTATAACAGATGACTTCGGACGAGATGCGTCGCCTTGACAACACGACCACATTGCGAAAACGCGGTCAGCCTACATTCTAGACGCATACCTTCTCTTCAAGATGTTGTTGATTTTCATCACTTTCCCAATCTTTCACTTACTGGTATAATTCCCATATTCAGCTAAGCGTCTGGCATTAGAGTAGTCTATCTGGTGGCCTGTACGAGCCATGTGCTTGGCCAATTCTAATTTTTAGATTCGCATACCCTTGCAGGCTGTTTTGCATTCATATAACCTCTTATGTATGGCCCTGCAGGTCTCTTCCATATAGGTGCTACCGCATCAACACGAATTTTTGTAACAGCCCGGTCTGTAGAGGGTCAGAATATTCTCGAAAAGAAGGCATTACCAAGTTGTATTATTTTATCCTTATAAAAAGTCCCACTTATTCAATAATTCGCATATCTTCGAGAGAGATTATATTGTTGGAGTGACCTTCATTTCATAAGGTTGCATGAAGAAGAGAGTCGTAGATGATGGCTGAATTCTGTTGTACTGCAGCTATTTGGTTTTCATACGACGCTCAGGACTTCAGCAGCTGTCTCCTGATGAGATCAACATACGAAGCTCTCCTTCATGCATATTTATAGGAAAGGAAGGTTTTCCCAACAATGCTATCTCAGGAGATTCACTAAAACCCAGTTACTCTTCGAGAGATTACACAATGGGATAATAAGGACTCTGGTAGAGTAGTATAGTCTTTTATCTAGCCCCCAACAGCATTATCAATTAGCATTCTCGTTCTAACTTGACAAAAATATGAATAAATTGACGAACAAGTTAAAATAGGCTAGTAAAGACCAGTGAAAATAAATTAAAATTAGGGAGCAAAATTAATTAAAAAAAATACAGCTGAAATAACCAATAAAATAGTTACAGTTGGAAAAAGCATACATAAAACAGAAAGTAGTAAGATATAAGATATTTAATTATAATTTTTCAGATAATTAACAAATGATCTTGTGCCTTGGGATTTTGATCGTGAAAGGAAACTCAATATGAAACAATAAGCCTACTCCCTTACCTAATTCTCCAGAAGGATATTAATTTGGATAAAAAGTCCACAAAAGTTGTTAAGAATCAAGGAAATAATTATGATAATATGGCGGCAAGGATCATCAAACAAAGATGAACCACTTAGAAGATATTCAAAGAACACACATATGACAAGCATAATGCAGTTCGGGTATCTACCTTGGACTAGTCAATGACCCGCTGGAAGAGTTTTCTCATGACATGCACAAAGATAATTAGATATCCTAAGAGATTTAGGAAATCATCAATATAAAAATAAAATAAAAAATACGTAAACTACTCTGGGAGACTCGAAATAATTTAAAGACTGAGCGTTCTATTTTATCACAATAAAGTAAAGGAACATAACGATGCCTCCCTAAAATGGCTATTCATCCGGCTTCGAACCTCTTCTGGGGTGCTGACAAGGTTGAAACTTCAGTCTACTCTAGATTCATAAACCTCTTGGGAGGCAAAACTAAGTGGGGGAGACTGAGACCAAACCTAAGTTTATACAATCTTTACAGTTCCATCTACAAGGCTAAGTGAAATTCAAGATCTTATGAGGCCTAATAATTTCATTGTATGAAAATCCAACGACCATCTTAAGTGACCTAGAGATACTCAGGTTCTTATGCAAGATGTATCGATAATTTCGACAGATAATCACATCGAGGATGTATCTAAAAAAATGTTGTTCCGACTCCTACAAACATGGTAAAGGATACTTGATCTGAGACCAATAGTTATGAACTTAATGTGCAAGCAA